GTGGCAGATTGGCACAGGGATGAGCTGGCTGTCACGTGCCATCTGCCGGGTCAGATCCAGATGCCCTCACATTCTCCCTGCTCCTACCTGCAGGCTCTACTGTGATCTGAGCACGACCAACAGCCCACGGGTCAAAGTTCAAAACCTTTCAAGGAGACCAACTCCCTTTGTGGCTGGAATGTCAGTGAATGATAAGACCATGAAGAGAAAGTGACATATCAGGGGCAGTGTGAGCTTTGAATAGAAGATGTAAGGCTTTGTTTCAGTGTAAACCTCTGCCAAGGCCTGTTTTGCAATGGGACAGATACAGTGTAGAGACTGGACTTAAAAGATGATCAATTTCAGGAATCATTCTACAAAAACAAATGCTTCAAAAGCCATTAGAAGTTGGTATTTTGACATAATTGACAATAGAAATAAGTGAAAATAAGACAACAGTAACAACTTGTATTGCTGTGTGCATGGTTCAGCTGCCAAACTTTAATCTACATGAAGTATTGTTGCACATGCAACCTCTATTTATTCATTAATAATAAATATACTTCTATGTTTTGTCTCTGGCTTGTGTTTGATGCTGTGGCAGGCAGACTGAAAGGCGACACAATAAATCAGATATGTTGCAGTTCTAGGTCATAACTTTTGTTGCTACAAAAGGAATTTATGTTTCATCTAACAAGCTTTAGGAGTGTATTTACCAGAGGTACTCTATGAACTCATCCCTGAGTCATTTTTATCACTTAAAAAAAAAAAAAGGGTATTTAAGTTTTTATCACTTTAATTAAGATGCACCAATCCAACTTTTCAGTTCCAATACCAATGTTGATACTTTGGCTATAAGTATTTGCTGGTACCTGATATCAGCCGTTACTAGACCAGAGACGGAAAATAACATTTATTTCCTTTAAATGCAAACAGTAGTAGAATGTAAAAAAAACAAAAAACTATTCTAAATATGTTTTGTAACTACAGCTTTGTAAATACATTAAATGTATTACAAAAAAGTTTCAATAGTTGATCTCTTACGCTGTAAAGTAATTTCCTTTTAACTTAACTGAGCATTTTAGTTTGTTTTTAAGCTGGGTAAATTCTTATCATACCTCACATGGACATGGAATAACATATGTTAGACATGGACTTTCTACCCTTTGAAGTCACAGCTGATAATTATGTGTGTGCGTTATCAGCAGTGACGATTTGGACATTCTAAAACCTAAACCACCATTTCAGCTTTTTCTGCACGGATCAGCACTGCTGTTTTGTTGAGTGTTTTTACCAAGCAGTTACAGTAAGTCCATTGACAAATGTGAAACAACACAGGTCCTTCCACGGAGAGCATAATGACTGGACTGTCCTTGAGTAGAGTTACATATTGTCGATAGGCTATTTTAACACATTCATTTTTACCAGTGGGACATGAGACATACTTTGAGTCACTCCTTTAAGCCACACTCAGCTGTCCAGAGCAGCAGATGTTATGTCCAGTGCCCATTCCCTTCTTCAGACTGGCTCTTCCCTTTCTGAAACACTACCCCAGCCCCCGACAGACCTCTCTCTTCCTGCCCCAGGATGCACCGTATTGACGCGTTTACAGTGCAGCAGCCACTCTGTCCGGCTCTGTGCTGATGTGTTTGTGATCAGAGGAGGAGGAGGAGAGGGAAGCAGCTGTGGTTTCCTCCAGGCTAGCTCGCTCTGGGTCAGGCAGGACCTCCAGCACAATGCCCTGGAGGAGAGGGAGCTCTGCCGCACTGCTTCTGCTCTCGGGACGGGTCATGGGGCGAGCCAGGACCAGGTAGGAACAAGTCTGCAGATGTTGTTCAGAGAAGAAGAGAGGGACTAAATATTGATTTGTTGTTTGTCTAATTGTGATTGCTGCAATATGTGGTAAGGACAACTGAAGAAATTGGAATGGATCTGATTTTGTTATGGCTTCTGTTAACCTGCTTTAATCCTTATTTAGACCTTGTTTTGTCCTACTTTAGTGATGGGCCTTTTTGTTCTTCATTCATTAGTTGTGTAGGGGTGGGGATACTGACAAAAATGAATGTCTATTATTTGACGATGTTGAGACAGTATTTTGGCTTTCCATCTCCTAAAATGTTCCTGTAAATGTCTTAGTTGGGATTCAAGTAGCCCACAAAACTTGAATGTGCTGCAAAATTAACCACAAAAGCACAAGCATATCAGTATTCTTTTCTACCTCTGTTTTGAAGATTGCACCCTAGTTTTTAGTTCAGTAGTTTTTTGTTCTTTTTGTGTATATATTTAGCTCATTTTTTTTTTTCTTGCTAATGCGTGTTTATTTTAGCTTTCTTTGGACGGTGCTTGGGTGTAACTATTAATGTCATTCAATACAGCATCCTTCACGGACAATTTATCAACATTTGGTGGGTGTAGTAATGGAGGAGGATTAGCTTAGCTTTGAAATCACAGTTGCAAGATCGTTTTTTGTTTTGAGAGACCAGCCCGCATGTCTCGGAGTGGCTGAAAATAGTTACTGGCTTTGTGAAGAAACTTTCACAGCCGGGTGGGTGCTCTCTCCAGGAGCTGTAAGAGGCTTGGCGTGGATTAAACTTTTAACGTGAGCTCGATCTCAACTGGATTTAGTGATTTGGAGTCGTGCGTGGCAGAGTTAGCTTGTGTTATTGCATGTATTGTTGACTACTATTGTACACAGGAATTGACATTTAGTCTATTCTTTTCAGCTAGTGGAGGCTTCCTGTTGGTGTGGACGGCATTGAAAATGAAACAATATCAATGGTGTGACATTTTGAGCTCCCAAACAGAAGCAAAAGTAGACAGTGGTGAATTTGTAGCTTCATGACAATTATTGTTTGTTGTAGTGAAACAGCTAAGCCATGGAAACTGTGATCAACATCTTTCCTCTTTCGTATCTAGTGGTGATTCGTTTTTTAGTTCATGTATATTTGTTCCTCATAACCATTCTTCCTCTTAATATAAATGAGATTGCACTGCAGAAAACGTCACCGCATAATACAGTTGAATTGATGCATTTGATTTGAGCTTGTCAGTGGTTTAGACAAACTTCACTTTTTTGCCTTTCTTTGTTTTCATTTATTTTCTATGCTGAGGGAAGTTTGTGTTTGAAATTGCTCAGCGGAGATTCATTCCTTCCTTAACATTGTTCCTGACCAATCACAGTCGGGGGGGTGGAGCCTTGGGTTTTACATTTTGCGTCATATCCAGCATCAGGATTTCTTTAACCAAAACAGTCCAGATTAGTTGTTTGCTGGAATGTTGCTATAGTGCTTGTTGCTATAGTTCTTTAGCAAAATGATGATTTGCCATATTCCTTTGATTTTACATGCTTATTTATAACATTTACAACATTTCACTTTTATCATTTCTAACAGAATAGCTGCTAAAACATAATATTGCTTTTTGAAACTTCTGCATTATTTGTCAAATCCCAGAAACGTTGCAGACTGTGCTTTCCTTTCATGAGCACCATTGTTTGCTAATTAATAGGCTTAGCGATGTGCAAATAATCATATTTTAATCAAGACTGAGAACTGTGTTTCTGTGTTTTCTAATCATTAATGATATGGGACTTTTAAAATCAAGAGGCCTACACTCAATCTTGTCAGTAAAAGCACGGGCTCTTGAGTTCATGAGTTGAGTTGGAGGAAGCAATTTGACTATTTTCAAGTTAAATTGCACTGATTAAATGTCTGTGTTACTAATGCTCAGAAAGTTAATACTGAAAGACATTTTTATTTGTCTTTATAAAAAAAAAAAACATAGCATTAAAAAAGTGAATGTCCAATCTTGTGTCAGCTACTATCTGTTTGTTTGAAGGCATAGGATGACTCCATAGAGGGGGTGTGGAATGAGATTATAAAATTGATTGACGAGTTGCAATAGAGAAACACGGGATGTTCTGCTCTCCCTCTCTCCCCCTCTCTCTATTTCTCTCTCTTTCTCTCTTTATCCTCCCCTCTTCTTTTTTCTGGCTGTTGTGGCCCACAGCTGTATGACAGTAGCTCACATCCTCTACCCAGAGCTCCAGTATGAGGACAGACAGGTAGGACAGCTGTCGTCTTCTGGCTGCTGTCATAAGGTTTGTTATTGTCAAAACCGCAGATATATCACTGTCAAACTGATTAACTCATTTTTAAGATATGCACATATGGTTTTGAAATGATTACGCTGATTATTATTACGATTTAATTAATTTTCAAGTGCATTGACTTGTACGTTTTTGCATACATAAGCATACTTATGTAATCAAAACAAATTTATTTATTTATTTATTATGAATTAATTTAAACAGTATTTAAACAGATTCATGTCATTTTAAAGTCATTAATGGTTTGCACTTTGCTCTGTGCATAGCATTGTTTTCATAAGCCAAATATATTTTACTGCAGTCATAATATTATTCTATTCCTCCTTGATAATATCCATGCTGCCATATTTTTATTGATAATCTGTAGAAGATGGTGACAAAAAAAACTTTTTTTTGTAATTGAATGGAATTATTTCTTTCTTTTCTTTATTTTTCTTTTTTCATAATAGTTTTTCATAATATTTTTTCATAATAGTTCAAGACCTAATACGTTTTGCCACAAAAATGAAAGTTAATTATGGTTTTAATAAATTGTGTTGTGTAATTTGGCAAGAAATAGGTCAGTATTTGTACTGCTATAGCTACCACTATACTGTAACCACCACCAGAAAAACTGCTAAAAATGCTAAAAATGTGCCACAGCCTCACTGCTCTCAACTCTTGATGTGAACAGTCACACTTATTGTTTTATTTACACGTTTTTAGTCATATTTACTGTATATACAAATGGCACTTTACATTCCAGTGCACAGAGCAAGACTGTAATTGACGTGCGCAGGTGAGGTGTGTCTGTGTCAAGAGCTTGTGGGCGAGGCCAGGTGTCAGTGCCTCATGCTGTGAATGAGAGTCGTCACTCCCTTTGCATACCAGACCAGCTTTCAGTCTCTACGCACCACCCCAAAGAACTGCAGCTAATACACAGAATCCAGCTTCACATGAGATTTGAGCTCCAAGGAAACGTAATAGATTTAACTTTTGTCTGAGATTTTGTTGTTTTTTACTGTGGATATGGGAGGCAGAGAAGAGGTAATGGTGACCACCATGCCCTTCCAAAGAGGCAGGTTGAACCGCTTAAGACTGCGTCCGGGGAGCCACTCCAACATCCGCAGACTCAAGCCTACATCTCTCAAGAAGAAGAAGAGCAGGTACGGCAGAGAATGCACTGGTTTTCATAGAGAATAGTTTTAATCAGATAGATCAGTTTCAGTACAGTTTGTGAATACTACATGCTTTAAAGCTGAATGTAAATGTAACGAAAAGTCTGTTTTTGAGATCAAGATAAGGCACATGAGCAATGCAATACAAATCTAATGTGGCAAAAAACAGTATGATGGATAAAGATAATGTATCTGATGTGAACAAAATGCTGTATTGGAAATATAATTGTTTTTCAGTTACATTATTTTCATAATCTTTCAATACAGACTTGAGACTGGCAGTGTTGTTGTAGTTTGGTGGTGTTGAAAAGTGGCAGTTGTGAGTGGCAGTGGGCTATAAATATCTGGGCCTGCTGTGGTAAGAGCTCTTTGTCCACAACAGTCCTCTTATCCCATCAAAACCGTAGGGAAAAATGTATTCAAGAAATTGAAATGTCATTTTACTGAACACATCCATGAAGGAGAGGCAAAAAGCATCCAACAAAAATGTAAAAAATTGCTGTTTTTCTAGAATACTTTTAGTTATACTTGCATATATACCTGGCGTAATGCATTATTTATAATGTACATAAATTCACTTTTAATAATGCACATATGCTATATTTCTGATTAGGTTAAAATATTTAATACTCATGTTTATGTGGGGCCTTTTGGAAAACTTCATCTATACCAGACAATAGAGACTATGCGTTTGTGATTTCTGTGATATTCTGTCTGTGTAATGTTCATAAGCAAGTTATGGCAATGCATGGTACTAAAAACTGATTTAAACAAAGCAATACCAGTTTACATTCTGTTTTGATAATAAGTATGATAGTCAACTTCATCTGTTTGGAAAAAACAGCAGTCAGGTACATTACAAAGCAGGTCTGTTGAAGAGAGATAAATTTCCTGTTGTTTGTTTGTTTGTTTTGTTAAATGACAAATACAGATCTATAACATTTCTCATTCTGTACCATTATATTATAATATCGCTTTTGATTTATATTAACAAGACAACACAAGTGCCACAGCTGCACTGGGATAAAATGACTGAAGTGAGCTTCCACATTCATACTGTGCAAAGTGGATATCTTGCCTAAGAACACAAGAACAGTGCACACTAGAGCCAGTGCTGGCCCACAGTATAATGTTTAATTTATTTATTTAATATTGTATCGAGTGGCAGAGAAATAGTCATTCTTGCCCTTGTTCAGCCACACATTACATAGCCTACTAAATTGCTTTGACTTGAACCTTTCTCTTGCCTCAACTCTCAAATATGTTAAAGATTTATTAGTGGACTCATATTCATAGCTATCTGCATGTGTCACACCAAATGTGAGTATAGTATGTCCTTTTGAGATTTGCTGACTGGAGGAATGTCACTGAGCAGCAAACCGAGTGGGTGAGTCAGCTGACCACTTCCTGTCTGTGCCTTATCGAGTGACACTACTGCCCCTGGACACAAGGACAGAACCAGAGCAGCAGAGTATCCCAGTGTAGAAAAAGGCTATCCACTGTCCTGTGCTCATTTACATAGGGAAAGCAGGCCCAGTCTGGTCAGGCTGTTTGGCTTAGTTTGACGGAAAAAGAAGTCAAATAGTTTTTCTCTTGTGATGTCGCTTTATGGTCCGTGCTTGGGTTGTCAAAAGAAACGGATTCATTTACATAAATAGAACTTGATTAGTTTTAGAATGATTTTGATTTATATCAGAACTAGAAAGTTATAAGTAATGTCAATTTTAAAGAAACTGCCTTGCGAATTGTTGTGTATGTTTTTATTAAATTCCACTGGAAAAATGATCTGGTCACAACACTAGTTCCAGCCTGTTCATTGTGTATAATTGATTACAAATTGTGCAAACTGAAGATTTACTTAGCAGATAACTTCTTTATTCATAAACTATTAGTATTGGTATCATTAATTAATAAAAAAGGTATCATTTTGAGAAGGTTAAATCTCATTAGTGCTTACAATCAAAACACGACCTATTTATGCTTGCTATTTAAGTTATGTAGATTAATAACATAATGGCTCCTACCATTTTAGATGATGCTTTGTAAATCTCAGTTTAACTAATGCCTGATTAAACCAGTGATCCTAAATAAATATTGTATGGCAGGAAATAATGGTGATTTCTTTTGACTTTTGTTATTTCATTAGCCTACTGTAAATCATGATGCTATTATGGTTCATTGCATTTGAGTAAAAGAACTTACATATTTCATTGTTTGAAAAAGGTTTGTTCTTCACCACTAAAAGCATCATGGATCTCATGCCTTCACCCTCTATTGTTTTGAGCTTGTTTTTTATGCTTGAATCAATAAAAGAGGGGTGTGACCATAAGGAAACCCCAGTTACAGTGGCATCTAGTGGAGATGCTGAGAACCGCACCTCCAGAGCACATTGCATTAGAACAATAGCCCCCCTTTGTGTGTGCTCTCCGCCGGGCCTCCTCCTCCCATCCTTTTGTGTCTCCCTCTCCGCGCGTCCCCTCTCCTCCTCTCCATCACCTTGGCTGCCGTCTCCACGCCTGTCCCGGTCGCATTTGTTTGCATGCACGCGTGTAATTCTTTCTTCCCATGTGTGTATGTCTGCACCAGAGATCCCAGCCCCACCGAGATGAGCGTGGAGCCATGGCCGAGCCCTCCGGACCAGGCAGCCGCTGAGCAGACCCAGGACACTCTCCACAGCACTGCCTCTTCCTCATCATCCGAAGATCTCCTGGACCAACGCCCCGATAAACTCTGCTTGGACGCCTTCTGGACTGAGGTGGAGACGATCAGACAGGGCAGCGCTGAAGCAGACATCGACTGCACCAGAAGAGACTCCAAACAGTCTGACGGTCAGTGAACCACAATCATGGATTTTACAAAGAGTTTGAAATTATACCAAAATGTGCTTGTATTACACACAAAAATTTATACACTGCACGCTGCACAATAGCTTCAGATGGGCTACTTCATGAGGTGTATTTGCCCTAGCAACACAGGGTTCCCCTCGTGCTGCAAAGTACCGCTCATCTCCATGACAACATCATAAAACACTTGTGATAGGGTAGTAGGTTTCCATCCAGAAATCCATTCATAGCACTTTTTTTTTTTCATTCATTTACATTTTTTTTTACTATTCTGTGCTAATCTGTCTTTTTTACAATGACTTTGATGGCATTATAAACAGGTCTGGTGTGTGTTCCCCAAACCTTTTATTTATTTTTTTGAACCTCTGGGAGTCTCTCATCTTTATTTAGCTCATGGAAATGTCGCCTCACTTTCATCTGTCAGAGACCAGGGGACTCAACCTTACAGTCTGACCTTAAATCACTTATTGATATTACATAACCCACCATTCCTTTTGCTTGTGGTGAGTCTTGTACAAGTACTAATTTTGTAAAGTAATTGGCACATGGAGAAGCCACAACATAACTGCTTAAATATTTACACATTCCGTAAAAGATGGTAGCGCTCTAATGTTGATTTTAAAGTCATTTCCAGTCATAAAAGATTTTATTTATTATTTATATGATTCAAACACACTGATATGACTCACTGCAATACACATCGTTACATCCAAGACCCTTTACAGTGTTATGCCATATTTTTCATATTCACAATGATCACAACATATTTTTCTCAAAGTTCTTTCTGCATTATTATTATAGCGTCTTTTACAGTGTAATGTAAGTTCAAGTGTGGTCACATTCATTTAGTTTTTCTGGTGCTTTGTTGTGGTCAGAAGGTGAACAAGAGGAGCAGTGGTTGGCTGACGCGGGCCTGTCAACTCTGATCAGTGAAGACGGCGAGGACTTTGAGGAGGTGGACAAGGCGGCGCTGCTGTCCACCCTGACGCGTACACAAGCCGAGGCCGTACAGCGCCGGATTGAGTCCTACACTCTGTCCCTGCGCAAGAGGAACAAGCCCCCGCCCAGAGACGTCCGCGATATCTTCCACTCCCCCATGTCCCAGGTGAGGACCATAAAACACTTAAGCCTCTGCTAGGTTTTGACCTTTAAGGAATCCTGGTTTGATGTTTACAGCAGGTTGGTAGTTTTAAATCATCTGCAGAAGACTGAAATGGGGTCTCATGAGTTATGTTGTGGTCACAGTATACATGCTTTGTTTCCCAAATTGTCTTCCTTTTTTGATGCTGTTTGATTTCCTGTCAAAAAAAGTTACAGGCCAAAACATCTTTAGTACCACATGTCTCAAAAAGTACTAGTACTTTTCACACCAAGTACTGCCTAAGATAATATTCTAGCTCTAAATGTGCTGTAAAATGGATTAAGTAGTTCTAAATGATCATAAGCAAAATGAACAACAAAAACATTAATATATTTACATCTACATCAAACAAATACTCAAACTGCAGAGGGTCCCGTGTACCTCCAGATGCAATGTGTCACTAGTGGTACAGGTACCACAGTTTGAAAAACACTGTGCTGGGCAAGTATTGTAAAACATATAGCATACTACTAACTACATGTTATTTAGCCATTCAATATAGCCACAGATGCATGTGGTTTTATTAGAATTTCCTGGTAAATGTTTAGTGTTATCTTTTCAGCCTGTGACTTCCTCTTTCAGGTCTGTATTTAAAGCATTATTCAAATGGACCATCCCTGGTGTCTCTCAGGGAGCAGTGAATGACCTACTCTTCACAAAGGGCTGCTGTCACAATCAAAGCAAATCACCTGTAAAGGCCAGACTGCGGGCTCTTTTATTTACCAAAGTGGTCACGGCTCATCTGATCTTTATCTGAAATTTTGTGAAAACACATGTACCCACCTGCAGAGGAACAAAAGACTGCACTGTGCTGCTTTTCCCATTAGCACTAAGAGTCACAGTTTTTGGATGTGTTTATAATAGTCCTGGTTTCATTCTGGTTTAGTCTTGATGTAGGCTTGATTTGGTCCTACTCTTGTCCTGGTAGTTCTTGTCTAATCTAACCCTAACCCAGATTCAGTGTTCTTTATTACTTTCATGTTCTTGAAGGCTAATCTCAGTGCCATTCTAGGCCCAGATAAATGTTTTTTACAAGAAACAACTAGCCAAACAAACTTAAATGCTGGACAGTAATAGAAAAAGATGATTTGCTGATGCTGAAATTGAACTTAATATAAAGTGTTTGCCTCAATTTCACTCGGATATTGGGGCTACTAGGGTATTTAACAAGAATACTTCATCATTGTCCTTATCCATACTTGTAAAGGTATTGATGATGTTTATAAGTTGTAAGTTTTTTCCTATACAAGACTGATACTTGATTATATTCTTTTTTCAGACTCTTCGCCCTGATTCCAAACGCACTGACGACATGGCATCTGTCAACAAATCTCCTCTCGCAGGTAAAAGTCTGTCTGCTCTCCACTCACATATGCTAGAAAATAAATCAGAGGAAGAAGATCAGGCCACAGCTTGTCATCTGTAGTGTAAGTGGTTAATCCTGGATAAACCACATTGTACTACATTTACCAGGGAGACATGTATTGATTTGGTCTGATGACATCCAAATACACATGCTGAAAGTTGAATTGGAGTATTGTTAGAATGATGAATTTGAAATGTTGTATTTATGGGAATTAATCTTAAAGAATTTGGAGTGTTTAAAATGTTTAATGATTATTTGGATTGTGTAGTTATTTTAAGGAGACACTGTTACTGATGAAATGTTGTTGTTAGAGATGCTTTACCGTAAATAGCAGATGGAAAGTAACTTGTAGCTAAATCTGGCACTTTTCTCTCTGAAATTGCTTTCTGTGCACTGTCCTTGTTTTAAAAAGATAAATACATAAATAAATACATACAGTTCAGGTTATTATTATTGTGTAGCATAGTTTATAAGCTAATAAAATGAGATAAAGCTGATAATAAAGATAAGAACTGACTGATAGACAGAAACCTAACTGGATGTCTCTAAGAAAGCCATATGAATTGGCAGCTCTGAATGTGATGTTTATCTTTCACACATTTCCATTAACGACTAAAAGATCATATCAGATGTCCATCATAACATACCTACACTGTTTGAGCACTTAAGTACTGCCAGTTTTTATTTCACTTATCATTTGTACCCAGGATGAGAAAGTAAGTGAATACATGTACCAAGAATACATATTCAGAATACTTATTTTGAGTAACTGTGTTCTGGTACAGTTACTTTTTCATATGGTGGTATTCAGAATACTATTACTTTTCTAAAATCTAAGAAATAAGCGGCACTATTTGATCTCTTAATTTAGGCTTCAAGCTGCACATAATCAATGATAAAAAAAATTGAAATTGAAAACACAGCTCTTATAGCGTGTGGATGTATGGTTTTTCCTTCACCTGTTAGTGAGAGAAAATGCATAACAAATGGTGAAAAAATATGAAGCTGCTTTTAATCCTGTTGCATCTTTACATTATAATTTAAATGCAGCTCTTGGTGAAAGTATTCTAAGTATTCAGAATATAATACTCTGACTGGCCCATGTATCAGAATAAGTTACAGTATACCTTTCAATTTGGATATTCAGTATTCTCTAACTAAATACATTATCAAAGTATTCTTCCCAGTACTGCTTGTATCTCCTCAGCAGAAATACATTTTTGCATTCAATGTTTCTAAAATTGCACAACATGGGTGAAGAATGTTGATCTTGTTTTGCAGCTTCTCTAGAATTTTAACGTTTTCCCCTGGCTTTTCCCTCATTAGATAAAAAAGGAAGAACTTATATTTCCTTTTTCTTACTAATTGTTGATTTTATTTTGGTCTTGTGCAGTTCCCCAAGACCCACCACAGAGAATTTAAAGTTCCTTGTTGTGTTATTTTTGTAGCTGTGACTTTAGATCAGCGCGGGGCTCCCAAAGATGAGATTTTTATCACCGATGTGGCCTACTGTGAACAAGCTGTCATCCTCATCAAACAGGCCAAGCTCCCCCAGACCACCTACCAGCGCCGCAAAGAGGACGGGACCCTTCCAGTAAGCACCAGGACATCTGACTCTCAAAAGATAGAAATAGAAAACACTGTATAGAGATCTGAATAATTAAAGCTATACCATGCAACTATTTTGGCAAAAAAGGCTGGGTATTATTATCGTACTGAAGAACAAAGAAAAGCATCTGTCTTTACTCTGAGCGGGCTTGCATCTCCACAAACCTGACTTATTTGGCCAGGAGGAGAGCCGCTTCCTGCTTCTTTCCATAGAAATGTTGTTCCTTTGGCTGTAATATTCCACAGTATAGCATAAAACTCATTTATCTCCTGGGAGAATGTTCCAAACAATGGTTTTAGCTTTCTATTTCCTTGGTATCATATAGGTGACGTGCCATCTACAGAATGTTACTTAGTGTTGCTTTATAAACATAATTACATCAATTAATGCCAACATAATGCTTAGCTACTTATTTCTTTTGCGTTGATATATGTACATGCTCTTTCTGTTAATTAACTTACAGCAATAAAATAAATGGTTAAGTAGCCAAATATGATACAGAAAGTATTATAATCTTAAATGGCAAAATTCTTTGTACTATTTTTAAGTGTCTGTTGAAATGGATTATGACGCAGTAGTATCTAAATTTAGAGCCAATTTTTTGTTTGGGAATTGGGTCAATCTGAAGTGGAATTATATATAAAATTACTTTTCAGCCATTTGCCGCTGGTTAGATAACAGTATTAACATGGGATGAATGAATAAACCCCAAACAAAGGGATAGTTTTATGAGATTATTTCCCTAATTGAGGCCAGACACTAAGCACATTGTTTATGCAGCTATGAATATAATGATCTCTGCTTCAGCATTATCCTGCTATGTGTTCTCTGATTGAAACCATATGTGTTTTTCCTCCATTTCAGAGAGTGGTATGCCCCAAGTGCCGTTTGGGAGTGACCCGGATCCAGGACCTGTCTCAGGCTGACATGAAGAAAGTGAGACAGTTGGCTCTCATCGACATGACAGCACTTAGTGACCTCCTTGAGCTGGAGGTCAAGAGGAACAAAAGTGGAAAGAGAAAACTCCCAGGTATGTGCTGGTTGCAGGTTAACTGACTGTAAAGATTTGAATGGTTAAACAGTGTTACGCAGCACTTAAAGGTGCTCTATGTAACTTTTTGGTTTGGGGTTTGTCACCTGCTTGTTTCTATGGATATGTCAGTGCTCTGCTTAGAATGTTCCACATTATGACATTAAACAGCTCTACCTTACATTTATTAAATGTTTTAATTTTATAGTTTAAAAATACCTAGAAAAACAGGCATTTTGACCATGAGCGGGATTGCCTCTCCAGAGATCTGACCAGTAACTTGGCCTGGTTTGGTCTCTGTGATAATAGAAATATAAAATATAATAGACTTCATTCCACAAGGAAAATTTGTTAAAGCCATATTGTGAAACATTTCTGACAAAGCATCTCCATGGAGAAAAGCATTTGACGGATCCTCCACCAGAAAAGTTACACAATACACCTTTAACTGACTGTAAAGATTATAATTGTTTAACAGTGTTAGACAGTGCTTAAAATATTATTGTTATGCAACTTCACTAAGATATATTACCAACTGATAATAGCTTATTTTACAGAGAGCACGCTTTTTGGAGTTCCTTTGGCAACGCTGATCGAGAACGACCAGAAAACGAAACCACAAACCTCCATTCCTCTGTTTATGCAGGCAGTAAGTCATTCACCTCCTCTAACATGTCCAAAGGGCTTATTATTTGATCATTTTGGTATTAAAAATTTTGTTATATTATATGATATATAGAGGTAAACACAGCAACAAATATAATCTTTTGAGATTTACTTCGAGTGAATCATAATTACATGACTTTTTGTGCTGTTTATTTGTAATTCATTGTGTTTCTGTCAAATACATTGTCACATTAAATTCCAGTATTCCCTACTCAACATTACCCTAATTAGTACACAAAATTATATATTTTTATAATAATTTCAACTTAAGTCGAGTTCAGATCAATACATTACTGTAACACTTGCAACACAAGCAAATTTAGTCAAGATAATTTTAAGAATTTCAGCTGAACCCGGGCTTGTATTGCAGTCTAGTGTTTGTGCCATTTTGTGCCACACCCTATTGTAGCAGCAGTTACATTGAGTTACCAGTAGAGGTGATCATGAGATCGTTATCTTCCCACACCACCACACTGTCTGATAATGGCCCTTTGCCTCTCTCTCTCTCTTCTCTGCAGCTGCTGTCATTTCTGGAGAAAAAGGGCTTAGATTCAGAGGGAATTCTGCGGGTCCCTGGCTCTCAATCCAGAATAAAGGTACAACACCAGGACATACATTTTTACAATCCAATACAAGCCAATGTAACTTAGATTACTTTGGTGTTTGCTGTTCGATATGTCACAATAATGAAAAATGTTCAGACTGAGGGAGCGTCTATACAGTATTGATTCAGTGAAATGCCACAAAGATGTTGAAAAAAATACTACTATGCTTCTCTAGTTTAATTACAGTTGGTATTTAGAGAGTATAGCTTCATGTAACAAGTCAGTAATGTGTTTATTGGAGCTTCTGTTGCCACTAAAAAACCTTTTCATAATGTATTTAATCCCAGTCTGAAACATAGAGTCAGTTACATAAAGTTACCAGGAGAGGGCACCCTTCATCTCTGTCTGATATAGGGTGGGATACTGGGGTTGCACTGCAGATGAATGGAATAAATGGTAATTGATTTTTGTATTGTATTTGGTGCAATAATTATACAGCAACTTCTCAATTTGAAAACATAAACAAACACTGAATTAAAGGTCCTACATTAGGCTGTTTTTTATCATGTTATAATGTAGTTTCCTCCTCAAAAACATACCCAGAGTTGTTTTGTTTCATTCACACATGTTAAACACACAAACCTTGCATATTTAGGTTGTGTACATCTCTCCAACGGAAAACCACTTTGTGATGTCATGTAATTATACAGGAAGTGCTCCACTGTGTTTTTATAACTCCATACAGCTTTACTAAAACCATTTGGATAATTTCAGCCCTGGCATTGCCAATCTAAACGACTAAACCAATGCGAGGTAGCTGTAAACTGGAAAACTACTGCTTCATGACATCACAAAGTGGAACAGACCATTTTGAGCTTTTGAGATGTAGACAGACTAATAATGGAGGGTCCAGATATGTTTTTTTTTTTAAGAAATAACATTTTAACATAAAGCTCACAAGAGTCAATTTTGCATAAAAATAATAAGAAACAATAATAAGTAAGTTAGTAAGTCTTTATTTCTATATTGCTTTTCACAGACGTTTTTTGTCCCCAAAGACGCTTCACAGAGCATTATTCAACATTATTCATTCACTCTATACCTGGTTATGGTAAACTACTATTGTAGCCACAGCTGCTCTGGGGCACACTGACAGAAGCACAGCTGCCATGCCAATCGGCGCCATCAGTCCCTCCGACCACCACCATCACTCACACACACACCACTTTCATACTAGGCAAAGTGGGTGAAGTGTCTTGCCTAAGGACACACAATGATTGAATTGATTGTATTAATGTAATATTAACCAACAAAAATATGTGTGTGTTATCTTCAGAGCTTGCAGCAGAGTTTGGAGACTACTTTCTACTTGGGACAGTTCAATTGGGATGAAGTGAGTGCAAATGACGCCGCAGCACTCCTAAAGAAGTTTATCCGCGAGCTGCCTGCGCCTCTGCTCACACCAGAGTACCTCAACACATTCAGTGCTGTCAAAGGTAAGTCTCTACACACAAACGTGTTTTAGAATATGTATCTAAGTAGTTTACAGCATGATTAGTGATGCAACAATCCAGCTTTTTCAGCTCCAGTACGATACCAATATTGATATTTTGGCTTTACATATCTGCCAGTACTTGATATTAAAAGATACCTGTGTAGTGGTGGAGAATGTCCTTTTTCCCCTCAAAAAACACAAGTTAAGTTATTACAAAATGCATTCAATTGTGTTATGTAGCTATTATTTTTCCAGTGATGTGTGACAGCTTTGTATGAATTCAAACATTATAAGAAGTTCTAGACCTACTCTAGCCTGTAAATAGTAATATAATACCAAACAGGATATCAGCTGAATCTATATCATGGGGCCAATATACAATCCGGCCAAATGTCCTGGATCAAGACCGATATCTGATACCAAGATCGGTACTGGTGCATTCCTAAAGCATGATATAAGTTATGTCATGAACAGCCTAAAGACTGGGCAACGTCACACTTCCTCACCTTTCCCTTTGAGCAATTTGAGTTTAGTTCCATTTATAGTCCTAGTAGAAACTAAAAGCAGCCACGCTAACTTAGCTTGGACCCACAGCCATTCATTTAAATATCCTCAGGCAAAACCTCATCTGAAAACTAATTAAAATATTGCACTAATGAATGTACTACAATTTTGTATGTTTTTGGTCCGCTGAGTCAAAGTTTTTTAAATAAATGAGGGATTTTAAAGCTTTGGACTTATTTAGGTCACCTGGAACTCAATTTGCAAAAAGTTCTTTCCTGATTCAACCCTAGTTCCCAGATTACTCCTGCAATTTTGTATCATCAGTATCGCCAATTACAAGTCATGGGTCAAGTATCTTCTGAGCTAATTATTTTCACAATAGAATTAATTTGTCCAGATTGAAGTAAGACTCACTGGATCTCTGTCATGCAAGCACTTCTTGTATTTCATGGACACACCCCTTCTTTATTTAGCTGTGGGTGTGACATTTTCGATGTTGCAAGGTGCTACTAGAATAAACATGGGAATGGGTTAAGCCTCTTCGTAATGAACACAGTATTCTTCATGATGTATTTGACGTCACTGTAATTTCTGTCATTCAAATAGTTGTCTTAGCAGCATATGTAGTATATTAATCAGGGATGAGTAAGAGCGAGAAAATTGGTAAATAGTTTTTAAATAATGTTTTACAGTTTTCTATTTTTGGAGAGAATAAATTGTATTTTATGGCACCATTACAGTAAGTAATAATAGTGGTAGCCATGGTAGTGCAGGTGAAAGTTTTAAAGATAGATGTGTAGATGGATAGATAAATACTTTAGTGATTGAAGAAGTAGCAGTGGTAGCAGTTGTACTAGTAGTAATCATTGCACATAGGTTTTCTGGCAGGTTTAGGCCTACCAGAATTAATAGCAATCTAACTGAAATCACAGTTTGAATGGTCACAATTTGCCAGTTTATTAGTTGACATAATTTCACGTGCAAATAACAAAATCCCTAAAATCTCTTATCTTATGTGAAAATATGCTAACCCTCTAATTTGGACCACTGCAAACTCTTGAAATGCTTAGGATTCTTGTGGCCATTTTGCTTCTCTCAGGTTCATTTTAAAAATTGGCAGCCTGAACACAATTCTATTATTAAACTATTTATTACAAATCAAATCACAATTGCAAAGCTTGCCATAAAAATCGCAATTAGATAAATCATGGAGATCTAGGTCCTGATTTTTCTTTGATATAATCCCTGGTTTGTGACATGTTTTTTGTTGATATATGTAGTGCATCATTCTCACGACTTTATTATATTCAACTACTTTAGATAACATTTATAGTTCCACTTTAGCATTGTGTAACTATGTACTCACAGTAGAACAGATTTGATATGCATTTTTCCTTTGTCCTTATATGACACATCATGGACTGCCTTTGTTCCTCTCTCCGAGTTCAGCAGGCCCACTTTATAATTACCTAAATGTCTTTACCTTGATGACAGCGCAGTGGGATCCTTATCTTTGCTGCCTCAGCTCTAGCAATCAGATGAACAAGTTGATAGTCTTTTTATAAGCATCTTTGCCCTACATTGTCATAAATACTAGACTAGAAGAAGGCGCATACCCCCAA